CTGGAGTTTTGTTCTTCATTATTTTTTGTTTTATGCCAGAGACTCCTTATTATTATTTAGGAAAAAGTGAGTACTTAGTGAATCAGATGATGCTATTTGAAACTATATGAATAATAATTATTTGTTTGCAGGCAAAAGGGACAAGGCTTTAAATTCGTTATGTTTTCTTAGAGGAAAGTCCAAGGAAGATTGTCAGTCAGAATTGGACAAAATTGAGGTATAATATATTCATCTTAATGAGTCAATTTATTTTTTATATGTTCCGACCCAGATTTGAGATAAACAGTTTTGATCATCTTAACTCATCTTTTTTATCAGGTTGCTGTAACAGAAGCAAGAGCTGAAGCAACAGCTTCTGCTGCAACCAATAAACTTAGTGAACTCTTCAGATCACCAGTACATAGAAAGTGCTTGGCTCTATCATTTGGACTGGTAACTGCTCAGCAATTTGCTGGTATCAACGTCGTACTTTTTTATACTGAAAGCTTATTTGCCCAAACCGGAATCTCGATGCTCCCGGAACATGCTGCTATTTTACTAGGTAATAAGAACTACAATTTTTAATTTATATTTGTTCCACATTATCAAGTTTGATGCAGGTCGAGCAATTTATTTATTAAAATATATTATTTTATAAAATTTAGTAATAATTGTGTTTCTACAGGTTCATTGCAAGTTTTATCCAGTTTTACTGCTCCCTTATTTGTCGATAAGTTAGGAAGAAAAGTCATGTTATTGATATCAGGAGTTGGCTTGATAGTCAGTTTGGTAAGTCTTTATTAATATATTTTCACTATATTAATAATTTTTAACAATGCTGACAAAATAATTATTATTTCAGACATCTTTAGGTATTTACTTCAAATTAGACAGCATAAAATATGACCAGATTGACAGTCTTGGCTGGTTACCAATAACTAGTTTACTCTTATACATAGTAGTGTTTTGCATGGGTAAGTGTTTTAAACGAATTTTTTGTAATTAAGTTGCAAAAGCTTTGGTCTTGCATGTCAAGGTTCCAGATTCAACTCTGACTCAGACAACCTGATATCAAACAGTAGTGATATTGGTATTTCTATGGAAATATAGATAGCAACATGTAAAAGCTTTGGCTTTGCATGTCAAGATTAGATTCAGCTCTGACTCAGACAGCCTAATATCAAGCAGTAGTGATAATGGTATTTCTGTGGAAATATAGAGATAGCAACTGTTTCCAAGTAAAAATATCCCCTGCACGGCATTGATAAAAAAATTATCACTATTATGGATATTTCAATAATAGAATTCATTACATAAAGTATTTTACATCTGTTTGGGTTGCTATCTATAAATCTGGCGTAGTTAATTAAGTCATATGATCACAAAAGCTTTTAGGACCCTCAAGTTAATTTATTCCAAAAATAATAAAAGAGTTTCTATAAATCCTCATCCCTCTTATAGGTTTCGGTCCTCTCCCATGGGCAGTAATGGGAGAACTATTTTCGCCCCAGATAAAGGCAACGGCATCATCGATGACAGCATCCTTCTGCTGGTTCCTTACCTTCCTGGTGACAAAATATTTCGAAACACTTTGTCAGGCAATTGGAACACATGTCGTATTTTGGTTATTTGCTGCCTGTTGCCTATTGGCATGTATATTTGTACATTTCTGCTTGCCGGAAACCAAAGGTTTGTCTTTAAGACAAATTCAACTTCAGTTGAATGGTGGTAGCTCGGAGGAAAGTAGTGTGAATGTCTATGCAGAAGAACAAGCGTGATAATGAAATAATTTAATAATTATAATAAAAACAAATAATATTAAGATGGAATTTGCGGGTTCAATAAGCAGACACAAATGGTGACTGCCAATAAAGCGTTTTTTATCGGTGAAGATTTTATACGATGATTTATGCTACTTTGTTAGGTAGTAATACAGTGTAACAGAGGAAAAGGATTTTAATCAAAATAAATTATTTCTTTATTTGTTCACCAGTAGTGGAGCAATATTAAACAAAATATTCAAAAATTGTATCCACCAGAAAAAAAATCAATACCAGTTTAATATTAAATATTTACAAGTTAAAAAATTACTGAAAGTTTGCTATTCTCAAGCATAGTACAAATTATAAAGTAAAATTAGAAAAAAAAATTGGAGCTGCAATTAATGATCATATCTTGCCGAAAATTTCACTGCTCGAAATTACATTTTGCACGATTTTAAAAATAATCTATACGCTTTTAACTAAACATTATTTTCATAGTGAATAATGTAAAGAATATTTTTAAAATCCGAATAATCGATCTAAATATAAAATAAAATTTTTACTTCCTACTTAAATCTGCGATTGCACGCATTTTGTAAATATATAATCTATAATTATATTAAAATTCATCTTCAAATTTTAAGATTTGTGATCTTTGAATATTTTAAACACGCTCAAATATTTGAGTTATTTGATAAATACTCAACTAATATCAAATTAATATTAATCATAGATACAAACTACTACTTGTTGCAAAAAAAATTTTATGATCCAAAATATTGCTTTAAATAGTTATACATCGATTTTATCCAAATTTATTTTAGGAAAACGCAAATTTTAAGCAATATTTTTAAAATATTTATCATTGGTTTATAGAATATTTTTAGTAGCTCTTATGAGCTTTTAAAATTTGTAAATTTTGTATACAACGCACAATATATATTCGTACGATATTAAGATTACCATAAGTTATTTATATTAAGTGCCTATATTTAGATTATGTGAAAAAATTTTACTTATAAAGTTAAAAATATGATTATGCCGATACTAATTTTTACATATAGAAATAGATACAAAAGTATAGTAATTTCTGTTTTTAAAATGTTAATAATATCAATTTATTAATATCAAACTCATACGATTAAAATTGTAATGGCTATTGTAGTTAATCTAAAATAACGCCAGTGCTTCCAAATAACTTCATTCTCAGGCATTTTAAATTAAATAAAATATATAAGGCTTATATTAGGAGTAGTAATTACTTTTTAATATTTATATACAAATAGTTTTAAAATAAAATATGAAATTAATATTTGTGGCTTTCATTTTAATCTATTACGATAAGAATTGCGTTGCAGAATTTTTTTTTGGAATCGTTTCATTGCATTTTAATTTAATTTTGAGAGAGAAGCTTGCCTTATTTTTTATAAAACTTATTTTAAATTTTAAATAATGAGATGGACTAGGCGTAGGTAATAAAAAAAACTTAATTTTAGAGATATTTTGCATCACATATAACAAATAAAAAAAATATAATACATCAGTTAGTTGTATTATATTTATAATATAAATTATACAATTAACGGCACAAAGGCACGGTAAAATATTCTTCTGATTTAGACATTCTTCATTAAATCAAGATTTATACTATGATGTAACCTTATAATCTAATGATATTCCGATACGAAAGATCTCTATTCACTCGACACGACGACTAATCACAATCGGTCCGTATAGAAATGACTTCATCGAGAGCCAATGACGTACAGTTCGGGCGTAACGCTACTTCCGTTGCATTTTCATAGATTTACTCTCCAGTCGCGCCTAAAGAAGATTTACTTAAAAAATTTTGCTAATATTTGCAAATTTTAAAGGAATGGATGAGCAGATCATCGGGCAAAACCGAAAGCGGGGCTTTTAGTCAGTATTATTAATTATTGGAAACATATTAAAAATTTATACTTGTTTCTAACTTTTTATATTTCTGAATATTTATACTATCTATGATTCAAGATTTGTACTACGATGTAACCTTAAAATCCAATGACGTTCCAATCTCCTCGTACGTCGGTACGCATACAACGAAAGATCTCTATTCTCTCGACACAACGACTAATCACAATCGACCCGTATAGGAATGATTTCATCGGAGCGAATGATGAACAGTTCCGACGTAACGCAACTTCCGTTGCATTTTCACAAATTTACTCTCCAGTTACGCATAAAGAAATTTTGCTTCAAAAATTTTGCAAATATTTGCTCATTTTAAAGGAACGGATCGGCAGATCATCGCGCAAAACCGAAAGCGGAGCTTTTAGTCAGTATTATTAATTATTAGAAACATATTAAAAATTTATACTTGTTTCTAACTTTTTATACTTCTGAATATTTATACTTGTTTATCTATGATTCAACACTTGTACTACGATGTAACTTTAAAATCCAATGATATTCCGATCCTCGTTGATACGTCGGTACGCATACAACGAAAGATCTCTATTCACTCGGCACGACGACTAATCACAATCGACCCGTATAGAAATGATTTCATCGAGAGCGAATGACGCAAAGTTCGGGCGTAACGCAACTTCCGTTGCATTTTCGCAAATTTACTCCCTAGTCGCGAGAAAAAGTTTTACTTAAAAATTTTTGCAAATATTTGTTAATCAGTAGATCGTCCGTAAAACTGATCAACGCAAAGGTTCTAAATTTATGAAATCGGTTTAGCAGTTTTGGAAAAAATGTGTGAAAGCGGAGCTTTTAGTTAATATTATTAATTATTATAAATATATTATATTTCAATCATTTATACTTGTTTCTAACTTCTTATACTTCTAAATAATTATACTTGTTTATCTATGATTCTTGTCCAGGATTATGTCCGGCATATCCAGGCGAAACATATCAAGCATGGCATACGGATACGTATTGCTTTTGTTATATAAAAAACATACATACCCACAATACATTTTTTAATTTTTCTAATTTTTGTGATTAGTAAACATAAAATTAGCAAATTAGGTTTTTTGGTGAACTTAAACTCTTTTCGAAACGTTAATAATACGCATATCTTAAGATAGTAAAAATTTGAATATTAGTGAAAATCTTAAATCTAATAGACAGATCCGAGAACACGATTTCATATATGTAAGTATCCATAAAATCAATCACAATATGTTAAAAAAATATAATTCTTTTTAAATCCAATCAAGTAAATGACTTTAATAAACTGCTATTCTATTCTAGTTCTATTATTACTTACGTCCAGTCTTTTTTGACAAAATCTGCAGCTTTTTCACCAATCATATAGACTATTGAAGTGGTGTGTCCAGTAGGAGGAATCGGAATTATTGAAGCATCAACCACTCTAAGACCTTGGATCCCATAAGGTTTCAAAGAAGTTGGATCCACAACGCTCTTGGGGTCACTGACTGGACCCATCCGGCAAGTACCTATCTATATATAATATTAATTTAAAAATAAAATACATTTAATTTATTGCTATTTACAAAGGTCAACAAACTATGCAAAACATATTTAAAAATAGATTACCGTTTTGAAAAGGTTTTGCGAAGAAATTTTTTTATTTGATCTAAGGAAAACAATTTGATATGATTGACATTAACTTTTATTGTTTTTGTTATCTGCTATAATTTACCTGATGATCCGCAGACCTAGTATTGCGCAAAAAGCATCTAAAATATGCATCTGACTCCTTTTCCAAGTGATCACATTCTGCATCAGGAGGAAGATATAAAGTTGCATTGAAGGTAGATAATGCTTTAGTGCGAGTAAAGGCCACTGCCTAGAACATTTAAACAAAACGTCAGATATATACAATGAAAAGACTACCAAAAATTATTTTTCAGAAATTTTTTCATCATAACTATTAATTTTAGACTAAAATTTTTAGTATAGTATGTTTAGTAGCTATTCTACTCTTATCATCAAATATATTATTTTATCTTGTTTTAATTACCAATTTTAGTCCCTCTACTAAAGTTTCCAGGTCCTCAGATTCTTCAAAGCAATTTGGATTAATTTTTGGAGGATCTGTAGGGTCTTGACTATATAGTTCAACATCTCCTTCACTCTTTGGATGCATCAACATAACAGTAGCATAAAATGAATCTCTTTTTTTCTGTCTATCTATATCAACGTACAAATTAGAAATATGAAAAAGTATTTCGATATCTGGAAGATCAATGTTATATTTTTTGTTTTCAACGATCCTACAGTGATCATTCCTTCAGCAAGTGTGAGTGGTCCTATGCCATTTTCAAAATAGTCTGTGACATGTTCATTAGATGCTAAAACTCCGATGTCTACTTCCACTTCACCATTAATATCGAACCTTATATCAATCCCAAGGTGATCTTTTAATCCTTTGCCTACAGGTAAATCTTTTATCACTTGTATTCCTTTGTCTTCCAGATGTTTTTTTGGTCCTATGCCAGATAACATTAGGATTTTCGGTGAGTTCAATGCACCAGCGCTAAGTATAACTTCTTTACTGACATAGACAGTATAATCTTTATTATTTTTAGTGAAATAGACACCATACGCCGTTTTGTTCACGGAATCAATTAAAATATTCTTGACAAATGCGCCAGTGGCGATTGACAAATTCTTTCTGGAAACAACAGGCTTTATAAAAGCTTTATTTGCACTGCATCTACTACCATCCCTGAGAAAACTTTGAGGACGTATAATACCAGTTTGATTGGCACCGTTATTATCGTTTTCTTCATACCCTAACTCTCTTCCTGCTTCTATCAATGCTTCGTCCAACGGTGTTTCAAATTTATTGGAATCTATGGTCAAATACCCACCAGTACTATGGTAAGGTGAACTCTGTAGATTTTCAACGTGCATGTCTTCAGATTTCTTAAAATATTCCAATACATTATTGTAATCAATCATGTTTGTTTCCTCGGGCATACAGCATTCCATTTATAACACTTGTTCCTCCTAAGGCTTTACCTCTAGGATAAGAGCAGTAGCCTTGTTCGTCCAAACAACATCGGGTTTGTGGTTCAGTTTTATAATTCCAATCATATTTAGATCTCTGCAACACACTAGCAAGTAGAGGCACATCAGTCAGAGGACTTTCTTGTTCACCAGCTTCCAAAAGCAGAATTTTCCAGTCCTGAATTTCCGACAACCTGTTGGCCATAACTGAACCGCCTGGTCCGCTTCCAATAATAATGAAGTCGTAAATATCATCAAAGTCTTCTATCAAGGGGAGAGTATATCGATCAGCTACTTGTTCAAAATATTCACTCAGAAGAGTTGCAGCATAATTGGAATCTTCTGGAGGTAAATTTCTATCAAGTTTTTCTTTAAGACGAATGAATGGATCGTCTGATCCTGCTTCCTCTTTCAACTTGAAACTATAAATACGAACAATCAAGCTTATTAGAATCAAAACTTTGTCATTTTGAATAGTTTTGTTTATTTTCATGACTGCTGTATTATTACTAAATATGGTTTACACAAGACTAGAATAGTATCACTTGTAGTCATGCTATTTATATGCCATTTCATATTTTTTATGTAATATTTAAACACATTCACATGCAAATAAATTGCTTTATATCTATATCAGTGGCAATTTACGTACATAAATTTTGTGGAACTTCTAAATATTTCATAAAAAGTGTAGCTTAGCAATTTACATGAATTATTTATTCGAAAATATTGAAACAATACCAGTACAATATTCTAAACAAAGTCCATTACTTATCTATAACACTTAGAAGAATGTTAAAAATGCTTGGGTAATTATATACTTATTTCATCATTTTGATTAAAAGTCGACGAAGTGACATAGTTTTAAACAAAATGTTTTGGTTGGAAAATTTTAATATTTCTTTTTATATTAAGTAGTATATCTTTTCTAAAGTATGTTGTTAAAATTTCTGCTTATAAACATGGGACTGCCTTT